CTTCTCGATATAAGTGTGGTGCACAACANTCTATGGAATCTCTATAACACGGAATGACATAGTCAACCAAGGCATAACCCGATGGCTCAAAAGAATGATAATATAATAAAGTCTTCCACGGGTGCGAGGGTGGAGTCTCACCAAAAGTATCAACAGGAAATGTAGAGCTGCCTTATCCACGCGGTCCGAGCTGCTCAAGTCCAATCCCTGAAAATAAAAATAGAAATATGGCCGAAGGGCCTAATCTCCACATGCCTAGTACGAATCATGAACCGTTCTCCAACAAAAATATAGGACAAGCCTTAAGAAGTTTTAAGATATGCAATAACAATTGATATAAGAAAGAAACATTTATATTAATTAATAATTTAAAAAATAAAATAAAATAATAAGATAAAACATATTTCAATGTCTTCCTTTAACATTAATCTTTACAAAATCATGTTAGATTTTTTATTTACCGGGAGCACTATACCATCACCGACACGAAGAAAAGTCAACTAGGTTATGTACCTAGCGGCAAGTATCATATACCCTACTTGCTCAGGTCGTCTCATCGTTGTGCCGCATGAATCGACTCAGCCATGCTATTAAGGTAGCACAATAGTACCTCATAATGGGAAGTACTCTGCCGTAGTTCCCATCCGTAAGGTGGGTTCTACGCCTACACCGGCACGTGTAGTTTCATGACCTAATGAGGAAAAGTATCCAATGTCAATCTCGGTGAACTTAAGTAACTCCCAAAACCTTTACATTTATCAAAGATGATATTCATAGCCAAATCAACTATTTGAGAATAGTTAAATTCAAGATATTTCACAACTCACGTATTTCCGTTTCAAAAACAAAATACTACAAGTACTATTCCTCATATATTTAGTTTTGAAATTGGAATACATTTCAAGAAAATAATATTCATAACACTCAAATCTTTTATGATGCAATAAATAGTACAATCCCAACTCACTCGTCCCCACGAGCTAGGACTTACATTTAGAAGCTCAATTTAATCGTGTTTCGATATGAGTTTGGAGAAAAGCTCCGAAGGTAATAAGTTTCAACGTATCTCAAATTGCTTCCAACCTTACCCCAAATGATCCAATAATGCCGACGAGTCACAATCTACATATACGAACTCACATAATTTAATAACGCGTCACAACAATACCAACTGACCCAACTATGTGTCTAACACTTTAAGTCCAATTTCATAAGTTTAACAAAAATCCCCATTTCATCATTTGAAGGTAAATCCTTGAATTTTAACTCCAAATCCTTCATTACACATATTATGGGATCTAGTCGTCCCACTAGAAGCTCAAAATGACATCGTTCGAATAAGACCCAACACTATTCATCATCCCTACCAACCAACTCTTCTTAGGGTTTCATGAATAGATGTTTAAATAAAATTCTACCTTCATAAATACACTTTACTACGACCACGAAGTATAATACCTAAGTTTGGAGTGAAGAGATTACCTCTTTGACAAACCCTAGAATTTTCAAGATTTGAGTTCTTGAAGTGTCCTTGAGATTTTCTTCAAAGATCTATGAATTTCATCATGTTGGAGGGTTAAGAGATGTAATAAATGAACCAAATCTACCATGAAAGACATTTAATTCTTACCTTGAAGATGCATTAATGGAGTGGAAGCTCTCTCTTCTTTCTAACCCAAAAGAACTTGACCCAAATAATATTTCTCACTCTCGGATAGCCTATAAAAAGGCTGCTTCAGTGATTCTCGCGGGACAGGTGCGACGCATCCCCATCGCGTGACCTGTCCCTTCGCTACAAAAATTTGGACGCCTTCCTGAACGCCTTGGTCTGACTTCACTGCACATTGCGTTGCCTTTGGCAAATCACAAGTAAGTTTTCCTTCAAATTCATTCTATTTTGTTCCTTGTCTTTTCCATTTTATACATTTTCTTGTCCCTCCATTTTTCGGCACATAGTAATCCAATGTCTGTTTCAAAATCTATCGAATTCTTCAAATGAATTAGCTTAGTCACATGGTTTCTAGTTCCCAGATTCTCCCTTTTTCTTTCTTACTAAACAATTTCAATTATTACTAAAATAAATACTCTTAATCAATTTAAATACTTATTCCATGGAACTATAATTAATTCTAAGCTATACCAAAGTTAATTACAAGTGCTCCCATGACTTCGTTCCATTCGTATAACCATATATCTCGAGTTTAATTACACTGCATTCTCAAACTCAAAATTAGTCCGATTAATTATAAAAATTCACGGGGCTTTACATAAAGTATGTGACAATTTGGGTATGCAAGTAAAGCAAGTAGAGGCATGTAGCAAATAAGCAGGGAGTCATAGAAGGGACGGATAATTTAATACAAGAATAATTAAATGTCAAATAATAATTAGGGCATAGAAGTCAAATAAACATGTAACAATTAAGGCATGAAGCAACATATATCATGAGATAAACGAAAACATGGAAACAAATATCATGACGACGTATATACACTCGTCACCTCGCATATACGCCATTTTCCCCACATAATTCACATAACACATAGTTCAAGGATTCTAAATTCCCTCAAGTCAAGGTTAGACCCAACCCTTACCTCACTCCGCGAGTCAAGCAATCTACCAATCTCGAAATTGCCTTTCGAACAAGCCTCCAAACCAATCAAATCTAGCAAATTATCGATCAAACGGTTCAAAATAAGCTTTAGAAACTACCCATTAATGAAAGAGTTTCAATTTTGATCATTTTTTAAAAAGTCAACAAAAGTTAACTCCGGGCCTGCTTGGTCAAAACCTGAGGTTCGAACCAAAACTCGATTACCCATTCACCCCTGATTCCGATTATGTAATTTGTTTCGAAATCCAACCTCAATTTGAGGTCTAAATCTCAATTTTACAAAAAATCTCAATTTCTACCCAAATCCCTAATTTCTACCATGGAAATCCTAAATTTGATATTGAAATCTCATGAAAAGTAATGGATAAGTAAAAAGAAATGGATTAAAGTCACTTACCAACGAATTTGGAAAGAAAAGTCTCTTGGAAAAATCGCCTCTAGAGTGTTTAGGGTTGAAAAATGGTGTAAAATGAGCTAAGTCCCGATTTTTCCCTATTTTACCCAGTTGCAGATGTCGCAATTGCGAAGTCATGTTTGCAATTGCGAAGTCATATTTGCAATTGCGAAGTCATGTTTGCAATTACGAACATCGCAAATGTGATACAAGGGTCGCAAATGCGAACCTTGCCTCAGAAGTCCAGAATTCGCAATTGCGACATTTAGATAGCAAATGCGAAAACTCTACCATCGCAAATGCGGCCAGAAATTTCGCAAATGCGAAGCAGACTCAAGCGGCCTGTGATCGCAAATGCGACCACTTCCTTCACAAAAGCGAACGGCCACAATTTGCAAAAGCGAACAAAATCCTCGCAAATGCGATATTCACCCAGCCCAGCCCATGCTCGCAAATGCGAACAATTCTTCGCAAAAGCGGGGCTCACAATTGCGAGCCAGACCTCGCAAATGCGAGATCTGCATCAGACACCAGAAGTGTTCAATGCACCAACAGCTCAAGTCATCCAAAACTCTTCTGAAACGCGTCCGAAACTCATTTGAGCCCCTCGGGTTCCAAACCAAACATGAGCACAAGTATAATAACATCATATGAACTCGCTTGTGTGATCAAAATACCAAAATAACACCTACAAATCAACCCTCAAAACGAATAAAATTTCAAAGTAAACTCAAGAACAACTAGAGTCACATCTAAGCATACGAATCATGTCAAATCAATTCCGAATTGCACCAAAATTTGTAGACAAGTTTCAAATGGCGATACAGACCTATTTTAAGTTTCAACATCAAAATTCGAATACGTTAGCTATGAAGTCAATTTACGGTCAAACTCAGAAAATTTTCAAACTTTCAAAATACTAATTTTCGACAAAATGAGTCAAATCAAGCGAGTGACCTTCAATGTCAAAACTATCGGGTCATCACAGATATTGTCAAGATTGTAGATGCTGCCCTTTTTGCTGACAGAGGACGATGATCATTTAAATGAAAAGCTTCAGTTTATGTCATCTATCTTGAGATTGGCTTTTCTTTGCTTCACAGAATCTCCTACCAAACATGATTTAGCTATTGCTATTGCTTCTATTTTGTTCAAACAAAATATCAGTTATATATTCAGCGACTTCTTCTTGGCAGAACTCTTGTTTCATAACCTTGTCTCTTTATCTAATATTGCTGCTGCTTTTATTTTGTTTTAACATAAACACATTCATAGAATTCACATAAACAATCATAAATATGAGTATTCTCCTTCAGATTTTGTTTATTTGACTACCTGACCTATATATTTTATCCATATAATAGTGAAAGAAACTCTTAAAGTAATACTAGTTAAGAGGTTAGTTGATCGAGAAAATGTCACATTAAAAATTTTTAAATTGCAATAAGTCACTGTAAAAAAGAAGGCCCCAAAATTGCTACAGTAGCTAATAAGTAGTGCATTTCCTGATTGGTGTTCTCTTGAAATACAAAATAATATAAAAGTTGTAAATATAAAACAGAAATAAAGCTGCTTTCTTAATTAGTGGATTACTTTCTTTATAGGAGAAAAAGATATTCTCTTCTCCCTTGTATGGGTAAAATTTACCCTCTCCATGTGGCGTGCCCGGAAAGTCCTATGTGACAATTAAAATTCAGAGATCGAAATAAGTGATGGGATCCGCTGCCGAGTTCGGAAGGTCCTTTCGCTATGGGATAATGGTCATCGGACGGTTAAGTACTCGAACAATGAATGTGTATAGCTAGAGATTCAGTCAAGCTTATACGTAGATCGTAGATATCATTGTTATGCTGGAAAGGTTGCCACTAGCGAGGATCTGGCTCCCCACTACCTAATCTCCTGGTGTATTGACTCAAACTTGGGAACGACAGCTTTTTCCCTACCACTGTAAACGACTAGAAAGGGACATCAGAAAAAACTTTCTTGGTATACAAAATATCATCTTGTACTAGATTCTTTCTCATTAGCTTTGTAGTTCGATCATACCTGCGATCGGAGATTGCTCGGGAATTGGAAATTAAGAAAAATTTTCTCTGGTTCATCGTTCTGTTTAATCTATTCCGCTCTTTCTTATTTACCGTTGTTTGTTATTTGTAACTGTCTGGAATCAAATAAATTGCCAGTGGCCTGAAAAATACAAATTTAATTATTTATTTTCAAAACTAGTTTTTGGGTCAAGCATCCCTGCCACTCTACGTCACTGCACTCTAAACGGAGGTACTCATAGGATAATTTTGAGCAGTCCTTAAACTTAAGGGAGGTTTGTTCATTTGAGTGGAACTTCAGGGGTCCTTACAGATATTAATTTTAATTCACCAACAAGGTGCAACTCCACTTGTAATTAATTCTAAGTGGCGCCGAGCCAAATTTATAGATGAAGCCGAATAGCTGAGCCGCAACAATTTATATATTTGAGCTTACATCAAAACCCTATTTCTCTCTCACTCTCTACAACTCAAGGAGCCATCAGAACGAAGCATTGAATTTTGTAGGTCAGTGCGTGTGATTCACTCTGTATATTGTTGGTCTCTCTCTTTCTGCTTATGGCTAATTGCTTCTTTTTGAATTATGTGTTCCAATTGATATTTCAGATTATGTGAAATTCTAAAAGGGTAAATGAAAAAACATTAGAACTTGTGAGCTGCTCCATGCGCGATGTAGAAATGTGACCTCCCTCGCTTATGAAGCTAAATTCCCTGGAGATTTTATTTTAGTTTTCATAATTTCGAATTAATCAATTGCTTTGAAATGTGTAGGAGTTGGGTATTTAATAGTTAAATTGAATGGCTTTGCCCCTAATAGAAAGTATGATGCCGGTCACTTCAAAGTCTAGTGATGATTATTAAATAGTGGCTTGAATCGTGCTTAAGCTGTGAAGCTAGGTACATGTTATATAGGTTGGGCGCTTGACTTTGCTTAAGTGGCTCTTTAACAAAGGCACCTTGGCGCTAAGGTATCTCTATTTTGAAGAAGGCATTACTTAACAGTAAACATCTCCACAAAGGTGATGGATTAATATTTAAACACGTTATGGATAAATGTGTTGTGATAGATGTATATGATTAGATATTTAGCATAAGAAAAGTAGTTGGGAAAAAAATCTTTGCATTTGAATCAGTTTTTTAAAATCGGTTTGAACTTGATTGACCTAGTTTTGCTTCCCTATACTTGAAATGCAATTTTATTTTTTCGTTATAATTGTTTTTTTTTAAATTATGTGTATAGCTCGTTTTAGTTTGATCACGTTTATGCTTATCAGAGTGATTCTTCGCTATGGCACACTATATAATTGCACTTTGTCCTCAGATCCCTGGCAGATTTTAGCAGTTTTCTACACTCCTCCTTCGGTAACACTGGTGATGATGTTTTTCAGTGTCTATTATGTGTTGATTAGGAAACTATGGCTTCAAAACTACCTATAGTGAAAGCAAAGGCTGTTGAAGCTTCAAAGTTCTTGACCAAGCATGGATGTGCATACTACAAGCAGACATTGCAACAGAACAAGCAATATATTCAAGAACCACCTACTGTGGAGAAATGCCAGCATTTGGCAAAACAAGTATTCTACACTCGCTTAGCTAGGTTTGTTATTCAGAACTTTTGTCCTTTTATGTATGGGATACTTAGTCTTTTGAGGTAGTTAGAGATGTTTGTTGTTCTTCACCTTACCTGTTCTTCGTCATTTTCCTGTCTCTTTTTTCTTGTTAGTCACAAGTTGGGGGTAGCTAAGTTACCTTTGGGGCTATAGTGCTCAGACTGCAAACTGCTCAGCATCTTGTAGTTGTATATGTTTCTTGTTTTATCCTCTCATTCAGAACCTAAATGGTCCGTGATTGAAAAATCACTTGCTTATAGTCGAGGGGTAACTTCCCTTGCTCATAAAGTGGAAGAACATTTTATCAACTTTCTGCTATCTGATTAAGTTGAAGAAACAATCATCAAGATCCTTCTCAAAAAAACAACATCAAGGTTATGAATCCTCGTGATCTTGATCATTCATGGACCTATAAAAATTTTAAACATGAAATTCTAGTCCACCTAGGAAAAAAAGGGTGATTAGTTTATGTATTTGGTGATGTTGTCAACATACCAGTTGATTTAATGCAGCCGACTTGTCAAAAATTTGTGAATTCTTATGTACCTGAGATTGAAATAGGAGCTCATTAGAAGTAGTAATAGCAGGCCGTGGAGATAAAGATTAAAAATCAACTTCAACTACTGAATGTTAGGGAATGAATAGCGCACATCGCGAGTTCAAACTCTGCATCAAACGAAAACCTGGTATTTAATTGGAGAAGGGTAGAGGAACAGGCCCGTTATCCATCGAGGTTCATATCGTGCGCCTAAGTTGCTCGGACACGGGTGTGGATAGGGGTGGCATGTGGGCTGGGCCCGGTCCTAAGTGGGCTTCGCGGGCCCGGTCCTAAGCGGTCCCGGGCTTCCCAGACTTCTTGTTGGAACCGGTCCGGGACCGGGACCACGAACTAACGGTCCCGGGTTAA